TCCTTAACCCTAACAACCTGGATCCTGCATTGGATGGGTAAATAGGTGTTCCAGTTAATACAATTTGTTACATTTTATGTTATGTCCTTTATTCATCACTAGTGAAAAGGGAGCAAGTTGTTGTTGAAATTGCATCATTATATTGTTATAAAATAAAACATTTTTAATATTATAATATACTGATTTGCTAGAGGGAGCTGCTATTCATGGAGATGATGTTAGTTTTTTGTTTGTTTGTTTTAATTTCGCGCAAAGCTACACGAGGGATATTTGCGCTAGCCGTACCTAATTTAGAAGTGTAAGACTAGATGGAAGGCAACTAGTCATCACCACTCACCGCTAACTCTTGGGCCACTCTTTTACCAACGAATAGTGGGATTGACCGTCACATAATAACGCCCCCATGGCTGAAAGAGCGAGCATGTTTGGTGGGATGGGAATTCGAACCCGCAACCCACAGATTGCGAGTGGAGCACCCTAACCACCTGGCCATGCCGGGCCTTTTGAATTGTTATAACAGAAATGTTAGGGACATTTTAGCGTATTATTAGTATATATGCACACAATATATCGTAACCTATACTTTGAATGGTCGGTTTTTCGCTTGGGAATTCCATAGAGTAGTTTTTCGGCGCGTGTATTATTTGACATCCTTGTCGATCCCTACTATTAGGTACTACGCACTTAAAATATGTTATTCTGATCGAAATATTTGTATGTTTTGTTCTGATTGGTCGCATTGTATATTTTCAACAATTAAGATATTCATATATTTTTCCACCGACTGATTTGCACATTTTAATATTCTGTATTCAAAATATTTATATATGTGTTTCAGATACTTCTATGATCCTGGTATTTTAGACGCAGTCCCTTCAGTACTTCTCGTGACGGCGGGAGTACACGGCTGTTTTTTATTTGTAGGTTTGTTACTTTACAGTGAACCGAAGTCTCGAAGAGTTGAGGTAAGTAACAGTCAGTGGGTAGGACAAATATATATACAATAACTTCTCGTTCGTGTTTTTTTTTTCATTCGGTGTCTAGAACCACATAGTTCTCTTCAATTCTGTTTTACAAATTCACCAGTAAGTCATGAACTGAAATAAACTTTAAATATCAGCTGTTGCTGCTAATATTGAAAAACTTGTTCAGGAGCGTTTACTTTAGATATCAGTTGTTGCTGCTAATATTGAAAACCTTGTTCAGGAGCGTTTACTTTAGATATCAGTTGTTGATTCTAATAATTAAAATTTTGTTCAGGAGAGTTTACTTTAAATATCAATTATTTGTGCTAACAATTAAAACTTTGTTCAGGACAGTTTATTTTAGATATCAGTTGTTGATGTTAATAACTTCATTTTACGGATTTTACAGATAATTAGTTGTTTGTACTAACAGTGAAAAACCTTGTTCTGGAAAGTTTACTTTAGCTAGCTGTTGTTTATAAGTTTATTGTCTACGTTGTTACAGGTGTTTGTATGCCTACTGGGTCTTCTTTCAATAAATAATCGCCCGAACTAACAGATCTATTTTCAATCGACCAAAGTTTGGTAAAATTAATCTTTATAATCGTAGAACTCGGATGAACCTGATGCTATCGATCTCAAAACAACCAAACCAAACTGTCAAGAAAGTTTCATTGTTTCTAAGTTGGACCAGGAAGGAGTAGAGCACACGAATACTGTGGATACCAAGGAACTGGCCAATGAGAACACACCAAGAACCGAAGTGTTTGAGTCTAAAGATCTTGCAGTAACACCGCGAGAAGTCCTCCCCCCTGGTTTTTTACTTGCAGGCACCCTTTTCTTTCTTGAATATTTAAAAATTTATCTTAAAAAATGTTCCACATTTGATCAGTGTCTCCAAATAAATCAACTACACAATTCACAACAGATAATTATTGTTGCATCCCTACAAAATTTGCTTTTATTAAATATGTAACCAAAATATCATTATTTCTGATCTCCATATGCAGCAAAACATCTTACCTATTGGACTCAGGAGATCCCAACCATGGGTGTTGGCACCCCCCGGGGTGCGAAATAAGGGTACAGGGGGGTGTCGGAAGAGGCCTATACAAGGTCTGTTTTCCCCCAAATGTCACCAATTGGAAATGTCTAATGCACACTTTTTAGGGCAGGGTACGAGGGTCACCCAAGGTTGGGAACCACTGTACTAGAACAATGATCACCTGCTTTCATCTGATTATCACATGGAATCACTTATGGACGTTATTTCAAGTTTTAAATTACAAATTAATTGTCAGTCACCTTCAGACAGAAATTGTTCCCTAAGTCCATAATTCGGGCCAAGATAAAGCTCACTGGGAATCAGACCCATCAGCCCTTGCGATAATCCATCACTGGCCTTCTACATCAATTTACTTTATCATTACATTATAGTAAATGAGATGTCACGTTCATTAAGCATACCTTGAAGAATGTGTTCACAAATGTTAATGAATGAAAAGAACAGACTGCCGTTACTACTAGTAGATAGAACTCTTTGGTCTTGGATTAGGAGCCTAAAACAATAGGTTCGTCAGTAGCACTTGGAAAATATAACTAGGTTATCACCCCATTGGTTCAGTCATCACTGGCCCACCGGGATTTTGCTCGGTGTCTAGGCGGCCCAATACGTCCCCTTAATAGAAGATCAAAAAAAATTGGTCTAACAGGAAATTAGATCATCAGAAAATATTGGGAAGTTTAAAGAACGATAAGGCTACTGGGCCAGATAATATTTCCCCAAAAGGAGTTGAAAGTATTTAAGGATTGGATATGTGAGCCACTTGCTACTATTTTTTGTAAGTCCTTGAATAATGGGTAGGTACCAGAGGATTGGCTAATGTTACTCCTCTTTTGAAGGGAGGTGATAAACATTGTCCAGATAATTATAGGCCAGTTAGTCCTACATCAGTTGTGGGAAAAGTTTTGGAAAGTCTGAGAAAAGATGCCTTGGAAACTTATTTAATAAAGTTTAGAATTGTTTTGGATTGTCATCGTGGTTTCACTAAGGGAAAATCTTGTCTTTCAAATCTTTTGACATTCCTTGAAAAAGTTACAGCGAATGTAGATGAGGGTAAGGGTGTAGATTTGGTGTATCTGGATTTCCAGAAAGCATTTGACATAAAAGACTTGTAAAAACATATCTGTAGGTGTGGAGGATAAGTTAGCTAATTGGATAGAAGTGTGGCTCAATGGAAGATAGCAGAGGGTTGTAAACAGTGTTATGAAAGAAAGGGGTCCTGAGACAGTGGCAGAGCATTGTACATGTCACTGGTTAGGCCACATTTGGAGTATTGTGTTTCGTCTTCGGCTTCTTAACTTAGGAAGAACATTGAATTGTTGAAAAGGGTTCAAAGGAGGGTTTCCCCTAGTCCAACTATCCTCACCATTAAATATGAAAAAGATGATGCATCAACACTATCAATTCACTTAATCTCAAACACCTTAATCAAATCCTCACTAACTCTTCTTTTTTAACCTCTCATCGTATGACAACCCCTCCATCCCAGGCACTATTTTAGTCAAAAATATAAATTTTGGCAGGGTAGGAGTGATCTTCAATTAAGACAGTTTTATTTTTCTAACAGGGTGGTTGTACTTTAGAATGGGTTGCTTTCAAATGTTGTAGAGGCAAGAAATTTAAGTAGACTTTAAGAGAAAGCTTGGTAACTATGTTAATGATAAGGACTAGCTTTGAGGATTTTTTCATAGTTTTAATTTATGTAAAGGAATGGACAACCTAGATGGACCAATAGGTCCCTTGTTGCCCCTAAACATTATATTATAAAATATATATTCTAAAGAAATAGAGTAATTCGCATGTTCATTTTTATTAAACATTTACAATAACAAATTGCGAATCAATAAACAGCAAATAAATTAAAGAAAAATTACAAAACTTACTGTTACTGGCTCTCTAGTAACGCGATTTACACAAAAATGTTTAAATCAAAATACTATAATTATTCCAAGTAATATCACTAATTACTCAGGGGTACATATAGACCCTAAATATGTAAGTTGTCTAAGATATTTAAAGAAATTCTTTTGTCTAGACATTTGGTCAATCATTCATTGACGACGACAAGTTTCTAGCCACTGTTGGATCTGTGTCATCCGTGTTTCACGCACTAAGTAGAATCTTGACAGGCCTAATTCAACAAAAAATTTCTTACAAGGTGAGTTTATGTTTATAATAGTTTAGAGGATATCCAGAATATTTATTTGAGGAAATATTTTTTAATCTGTGAAAATAAATAATATTTCCATTATTGTAGAAAAAATATAATAGCTCCCATTTTAGGCCTCACTTCTAATGTGTCAAAGTGCAAACCTACGCAATGGGCTATCTGTGCTCCCCTCACTGCAGGTATCCACACATGAGTTTGATAATGATAAGCCTTAATTTCAACTGAGTCACTGAAGACATTCTAATGTGATTGGTATTTGAATTTTTGTTTCAGTCTACTTCATTACTGTAGCACACGAAATAGTACATTTCAAGAGCAATGGCGTAGAAGAAGTAATTTATAGAAATAAACGTTAATATGTCTGTCTGTGTATCTGTTCCTTATACGTTTCCACATTTCTTGATAAATCAGCACCAAACTTGATACAGGTTGACATGAGGAAGGTCATGGGGGGGGGGGGCTGGACCTCTCTAATTGAATATCTAATTTAGGAAAAAACTACGAATGTTGCATATCCCTCAGCATTAGAATGAACTATGTAACCACTATTGAGAGATGTCCTGAAAATCGTATGTCTTTCTCTTCAGTATTGATACCTTTATGTATTTTTATTGCACTTTTAATGTTTATTATGTTAAGAAACAAAAATAGAAACCCAATTTCTTATCCTTTGTTGCAAGCGAGTACTCTAGGTAATGAAAAGTAAAGCTAAATATTTTGTATTCTTTGTGAATGTAATTGGTCGTGTTTCACAGACATATAAATAACTACATTTTAATGTACAATGTTTCTTATTTTGCAGTCAACTGTATTAATTTTGTTTGGAATGAAGACCGTGTTACTATTCACGCTGATCGCGACATCTACCGGAGGGAAAGTGATGTTTCTAATATGGGTTTGTGGTTTGTACGTCGCCTTTCCAATCTGTTTTGTTTGTATCCCTGCAGTTGTTTCTGAAGTGTTTGGAACAAAATACACCGTCGTCATCTTTGGAATGATTCTCTTTATAGCGGTAAGACCATGGGAGCTAAAATAACAGAATAACTTCTTAACTAAGCCTAAAACACTACGGAACATTTAAATAAGTTAGATGTCTTTGTAATTAAAAAAAAATCTAAAGATAATTTTTCGCTATTTGTAGTAATGAAAAAGTTTATCTTGCATTCCATTACAAACTGTCTTGAAAGTGATTTTTCAAAGAGCATTCTGTTATAGAAATAAGAAGTATATTATAATTAATTTGTTAACATTCTCACCATAAAAGATGGCGTCCTTTCCTTTTCAATATATAAACAAATTATATTTGACCACGTAAATCATGAATATTTAATGGAAACGCTAGGATTCTAGAGCTTTTATTCCTACTAATTTCGTATCATTTTTTCCCTCAACCTAGGGTGTCTCGAGTATCGTGTGGCCTGTTATCTTTACTACATTAATTCCAATATTTGGATGGTTTGGAATGTTCTGTATAATTGCAGCTTTCACTTTTGTAGGTAGGTAATATTATTTTGATATAAATTATAACTTATCGATACCTGATGAAATGTCAACTTGTCTTCATTATTGAAGTTTTACTATCAGTGGTGAGAAAATTAATCAGAACGAACCATATACGTGTTATATTCTAAACCAAGCTTACACTTGTTGTATTATATAGCACGTGTAAGTTTTATACGTGTTGTACTCTGTCATAACGAAGCTTATATGGGTTTCATCATAAAAAAAAACTTACACGTTCTGTACTCTAAACAAAGCTTACACGTTCTGTACTCTAAACAAAGCTTACACGTTCTGTACTCTAAACAAAGCTTACACGTTCTGTACTCTAAACAAAGC